GTATTTTTCATTCTTCAAGCATAACATTTTTTTTCTTAAAATCTATATTTTGTAGTGCAACAGCTTAGAATTTTATAAAACAAATTCATAATCAAAATCGCTCTTGTTAGTTATCGAAAAATAACCAAGATGTGATTTTTGCGTAAATGTCACTAAACTATACAAATTGCTATTATCCATCACACTATGAATGTTTCTTTCATGCAAAAGTGTCCCTTTTTCGATTTCTATGGAACTGGCGTGTGTCGAAATACTATCAGAATCTTGTCAAGCGAGCTTCTGAATGTAAACAAAGAACACCCCGTCTGGTGACCCAAGCTTCAAAGCAGTGCTTCACTTTCACCCTCCTCCCTTTCCTACCCCCATGGAATTCTCCCTCTTATGCGGAGGTCTGGAAGAGTTATGTCCAACGGAAGCAGAATTTTTATTTTTTTATTTTCTCTTGCGAAGAACATAACTGCACTCGCTGATTCGATGATTTATAATTATTTATTGGAAAGGGTCTCTCGCGGCTTCGAATTTCTTTATTAATGAATTGCAAAAGAGTTTTAAGTCAAATTCTTTGTCGCCTTGAACGCGGTTAAATTCTAAAACGAATTTTGAAGGAATTAATTTCATTAAAATTGGTGTCAATAAATTTGCATATAATTCACCTATAATTCCTAAAGAATCTAAGCTTCTGATCTGCGTTTCCGCGTTATCATATAAATTTCGTAAACTTATAACATCGTTAGGATTTTTAACCGGAGTTAAATTCAACAAAACACTCAAATGAGTGTTAATCAAAATGTTTTTATTTCCGAACCTTTCTTTCAATAAATCAAGTGCTTTATCATAATTTTCATCACTTAAAGCAAATCCACTAATACATGCTGCCGCGGTACCACCAGCCAAGTTGGTTTAGAGGCCGTCAATGATGTTTACCACTGATGTTTCTTTATATTCTGAGAAATACCAATCATATCTAGAAACGGATACCCATAGTGAGATTTCTTTGTATTATCGAAATACACGTTCTGTTACTGTATTTGTTCCCAGTAAGTACATTTCAGTTGTAAGATTTATTTTAATTTTCTAATATTTATTTTTATTTTGAACCAAGCCTTTCCTTTATTTTCTTATTTTCCACCTACGCCTCCCTGCGGAATGAGTTTTCAGAATTGCGTTTAATGTAAATGATGTAGAAACCAGTATTTAAGCTAAAGTCTAGATCACTAGAGGAACGTAGAAGAGCGTGTTCTGCCTTTCAGCCAAGTTGTTACTGCTAATGTAGTTGCTCTTAGGGTTATTGGGCTGTATAGTTACGTGGTTGCAAGTTTACGCCAGTGATTTTAAAAAGGGCCAACTCTATATTTAATTCTGTGGAGCTTCGGCTGGTTTATTTTAGTTAACATCAGGTAAGTTTTTATACTTTCTATCTTGAGTTAAAGCACAAATGAAGGCTTATTGTAAGCCCTAGAAGGAACCCTGTTCACTTATTTTAAATTGAAATAAGGGGTAAATTTAATCCTTCTTTAGACTTCTTACGTACGGAACTCTACGAATCATTGCTACACAGTTCTTCAATATTCTAGTTCTCAAAGAAATCCAATGTAGCTAGGATATTACACAGTTATATGACGCATTGAAGAAAATGATATTGTAAAAATGGGAAAAAAAAATGCCTTATCCGTTTTCCTCAGATTTAGTTTTATATTCTGACAACCTTTTTATTTTACGGTTATTAAACATCTTCATAAATATGTTATTTTGCTGAATAATTTATTATCGGATAACTCTCATTCATCAAAATATTTTGTTGAAAATGTTTAAACTTTCTTGTTCGTATAAGTAAGATAATAATGTCAAAAAAGATGACTGAGTGTTTCATTCCTTATATTACATACATGAAATGCAAATAAAACCCATAAATTCTTTCACGAACCTTTCTTTTTTGCAGGCTTCGGGAATTCCCTTAAATTTGTATGTACAAAGCATTAATTATATAATTACTTAATGTGTTTTTGATCTCTCAGAAGTATCTAAAGAGAAAATCTAGGTCACATATTTACAAAATTGCGAACATTGTCCGCAACATATTCTGAGTCGGGACACTGCTTTAAAACTCGGTATGACATATTATAAGTTATTTCTCCCACCTTCCTAGCGTGCCTTCGTGATGTAGTGGTCAGCACACTGAGCCGGTATTTCAGAGGTCCGATTCCCGGCGAAGGCGAGTGCTAATTTTTCAATCTCTCTTGCTTCCAAAAAAATCCTAATGTCTCTACAATAGTACTTAGCTATAAATATCTACAATACCTTGCCAGGTTATCGTAGTTAAAAATAGAAGATTACGAATGCATGCACATAAGAAGTGACGGAAAACAATATTACAGATATTGCCAATGATTCAAAGCGACAAGTTTGGTTTCAAAATAAAAATGATTTTGAAATCAGTTTTGTCATTTTAAGTATAATACTTGAAATATAAAAATGTCTTTATTAATATTTTGAAATTCAGAGTGCTTTTTTTTATTTCACACTTTCACGTTCTTTTTTTCCTCGTAGCTTTATATTACAATATTCTGACTCGCCTTCAAGGATTCCCGTCTCGTTTTCTCTTGAATAACCAGTTAGTCCCCAGTTAAGGCTTAGGAATTAAATTTAGTTAATTTTTTATTAATTTCCGAAGCGTTTGAAAAATTTAATAACAGCTTATCTTTCCTTTCAAATCAAACGTAGTTACGTCAATGAAAAAGAAACAAAGGCAACAATGTCTTCATAAACCAAGTCATGATATTTTTGAAGTAAAGCTTTGATTTACGTCATCAGAAAAAAAAATCTGAAATGTTTCAGATTTTAAATTACGTCCAAAGGGGCGTTTTTAAACATTTTGTGTTACCTTTCTTTATTAAATATCATGTTCCTCGCACTTAAACCATAAGATCCAGTGCAACAGCAATATCGCAAAATAGTTTTAAAACGAGCATATCTTTAGAATTTCCGATACAGAGACTCACGCGCTGGAGATAAAAATGTTTTTTCTGCACAACGTTGCCATTGCTCGCTTTGAAATCCTTGAGCTTGTTAATCAAAAATTCGTCAAAGTTTTAAAAAATAGGAAATCGATCATAAAACAAATTTCAAATTTCAAATTTGGTCTTCCACATGCTCATATTCGTTGGAGGATTACGTTATTCAAAATTCGATGACTCTATGTACCGTTGTTTTATCACAATACGAGAAATATACATACATTTATGCAGATTTTTCATTATTTAATTTCTTCAAATATAATGCAGGACTCTAACATTTTGTGGCAACAGTTTGAAAAGTGAACCGACATTTATGAGTCCGACGCAAAATGCCAAAACGAAACTAATAGTCCTTCGGGATTCAAATCCCTTTGGACTAAAAAAACAACCCTGACAGCCCATTTTTCTTGAAATGAGAGCACGAGATGAAATCACTAGTATCCAAGAATTTTATCTGCTCAAACACTACTAGCACGAAAAACAAATAAAAAGTTTTAAAAAAAAACTTATAAATAAAAATTTTTTTTTTTTTTCGTACAGTGTTTTTTTTTTAAAACCCGCCCATTTGGTCGTAATATAAAATCTAAAAGCGTTCAGATTTTATATTACGCCCAAATGGGAGGGTGGTTTTTTTTTTTTTTTTTTTTTTTTTTCCGTTTCGTGTGTTACCTTTATTTATTAAATATCACGTTCTTAACCATAAAATCACGCACTTAAACCATAAAATTTAATTCAACAGCAATATCTCAAAATAATTTTTAAATGAGCATATCTTTAGAATTTCCGATACACAGTCTCGCCCGTTGGAGATAAAAATTTTTTTTTTCGTACAGTGTTGCCATTTCTCGCTTTGAAATCGTTGAGTTTCTTAATCAAAAATTCGCTAAAGATTTACAAAATATGAAACAGATAATAAAACAAATTGCAAGTTCGGGCTTCCAGATTCCCATATTCTATTGGACGACAACTTATTGAAAATTTGATGTCTCTAGGTATCTTTTTTTTTTTTTTTTTTTTTTTTTTTTTTTTTTTTTCCGTTTATACATACATTTTGTTTATGCATACATTTTGTTTATACATACATTTTGTTTATACATACATTTATGCAGATTCTTCATTAATTAATTTCTTTAAGTATAATACAGGGCAATAATATTTGGTGGCACCAATATGAAAAGTGAACCGATATTTGTGATAGTGAACCAACGTAAAATGCCCAAACGAAGCCCTTCTGGGCTAACGCCCTTTGGGCTAAATATTCAGGTAGTTTTTGCGTTCTAAATTAATAAATATCATTGCTATAACAAAAAGATAAACCAAATATTATATAAACCAATAAACCTTTTCGGGAAGACTTTAAAGTGTACATATTTTTCAATTATATTTAATATCTAGTTCCTTTGTTTGGTTTAAAAAATTATTATGCTAACGAATTAAAGAATTCGATGTAAATATTTCTTTTTAATTTACAAAATCCATTACATATAAAGCGGCGTCATATATAAAGTAAAACAATTTATTTCCTTTACGCATATATGTAAACGAGACGATATAAACGAAACAAATTTTTCGCTTCGTTGACAATTTTTTTCTGTGAACGGAGAAGTCGTAAGCTATCACAGTGAGCTTCCTGGAGTCGCTTCTTTACTAGTCCTCTTCTTCCCTTCTTGCCCTTGGACCAAGATGTTCTACAAAATTTCCCCCTCATGAAATCCTTTGTGATTTTCATTTCTGGGCTGTGTTAAATTTTTCCTGGCGTAATTGTCACGAACGCTAAAAAAAGACTACCGCCCCTCTTCTCATAAATTTTTGCCAAGAATAAAATCTTCGATTGATTGTTCCAATCAGAATCACTCAGGTAAAAATACTCCATTTAAATTAAATGACTTTCCATCGAAAAGCAAAATAATGACATTTTTCGAGCGTAATATAAAACATGCGAGAACTACTCAGTCGTCGCAGGATTCACTGACAAGCCCAAAAAGGAAACGTGCCTGGAAAAGACTTGCTGTCCAGTGTAGCGGAACCAAGTGATCGCTGCCAGTCGCCTGCAGATGTTTCCACTTAAGGAGGAGGTGTACTGAACCTTACAGATGAGATAGTAAAAATACGTTCATCAGTTAAAACAGTATAGTCTGAAAGAGAGGCTACTCGCCGCAAGAAGCAGGAGTACTTTCAGCCGTTACATAGACTAAATATGGGATTTTACAAAGTAAGTTAATGCTGTTTTCTACCTTCAAATAACAGCTTTACAATTTTATAAAATTGCAAATTAAGGTTAAGGAGGAAATTTAGCATTTTTCAATGATTTCAGTTTTCGGTCTGCGTGCAAATGCCTCGAGTATTTGAATGCGATTCGCATATAATTCAGCGTCAACAGTTAGCAATTTTCGCAGACCTTGGTTGAAAAGCGAATTTTGCTTGAGTATAACTATTGAGAAATCAAATTATAGGCAATTCTTAAAGAGCATTACTTAAATTTCTACTAAATTTCTAAAGTTTAAAAGTTCTGAAAAATACAAAAAATAAAGTATTCTTTAAGAAAAATAGCGCAGTTATTTCGCATGCGGTCAATCATGAAATAACTGCTAACGATGCCAGAATATTCACGCCAAAAGGTTTTTGCTCTAGGTCAAGTGCACAGTCATTCAAATGTAAAGTAGCAGATAACTATTGCCCTTTACCACTGCATATGTACTTGCAGTTACATTTAATGTCGAGTTACCTTAATGTCACAGTTGATATTTTCTCTAGAATATATTAGTTATTATTCTAGTTATTGGTTACAGCTATCTGTATTTTGGCAACGTGCAAGACAAATTTCTGCTTAAAGGGAGGGATGCCTTCATGGATGTAATCTTTCGGAGAAATTGCCTCATATTCATTTTACATCCAGAAAAAATTCCCAAAATTCATATTCAGATAAGAATTCGCCTAGATTTAAACCTGATCAACTTATTAATGTTCAGCGACCTTGCCGCTCAGCCGCTGGTGGATAGTTTCAGTTTCATAATATAATAAATAGTTATGTTGAAGAATGAAAAACATACACTATAGGCTGTTATTTTAGAATAGTCACTTCAAGGCCATCTCTTCCTCCCTCAGCCCCCAAAATTATGGCTCATGATCATAGCAATGACTACCGCGAAAAAAAAAAAAATCCTCTAATTTGTGGCAAAATTGCCGCATTCCGTGTGCACGGTGATTATCGTAGCCACTCTCTCCTGCTAAATGAGAAGAAGGTTGGTATGACCTTGAAGTGCCTATTTTTTTAAAGTAACTGATTAGACTAGAGTGATTAAAATGCCTTAATCAGGTATTACTTAATTATTGATATAAACAATGATTGACAGCATTGTGTTGTAGTTTAAATAAATAATAACATTTCAGTCGTAAGTTACTATTCTCTTTGAGGTTCATTATGTCAAAGGGAAGAAATACTGCATCCCTAGACTAGAAATGCAATGAGTAGTGGGTTTACCCGCAGCTGCAATGAAATGGTTCTCTTGAATATGATTCATAGTAAACTGCTGGCCTATGTAATATACTTTACTGAATGGAAAATGCATGCGTATTTGAAGGGAAGAATAACTTAACTCGTACAACGAAACTGTCTTCGAAAGCTTAACTGACTAATAATTATACATTAAATTTTAATTTTTAAAGCTAATTGACTTCTGCAATTAAGACTTTGACTAAATCATCGCGGAGACAGCAAATGGTTCGTACAAAGCAATTTATACTATGTTCACCTCCTCTTACAGCTATCTTCGTAAAGCTTTATTATATATAATTCTAAATAACGATTCTGAGATATACGTATGCTCAAATACGTATGGTAAAAACTGTTACTCTAGCATTGAGCATTTTGTTGTAATTGTATTTTCGTATTTCGTTGTTCTTATTCGTTGTTTTATTTCGTATTTCATAACAAGTAGTATTGTAAGCTCGAGTAAATACCTCTTTAATTTACATAGCTATTGAAACTTATAATTGACAAGTTAAACGAACGTTTGGTCAGCATATGCAGATATGCATATTCTCATGTAATATAATCACACAGAAAACGTCATGTTATGACAGACGAAAGAAAAGCAAATTTAAGTTCTTTCTAATTTATATTTTGAGTAGCTGCAAAAATTCTTTCATAGACTGTTTTTAACATTGCTTTATTAGTGATTGGAAAAAAGTGGTTCTCTATGTGCTATTGCGTAATAATTCGCATTTTGCCTAATTTAATAATTTTGAGAAATTGTTACATATATTCTAAGATGTATTTATTATTAAGATAAATTGTAAGCAATCGTTTCATTTCCATCGTGCGTGCTGTTGTGCCGTAAGTGGTTAGCATGTCCAGATGGAAGATGCGTGGATCAAATCCTGGTAAGGGCACAGATTAATATTTTATGCCTTTTGTTTCAAAAAAATAATAATCTTTATAAAATAAGAGGGCCTTTGGAAGAAAAAAAATAATTACCTTCAGTAAAAAATATTTTAAGAGATGTAAAGTTAACTATAAAAATTGTACCACAAAAAGATGCAATTCTGTTTAATAAATAATTAATTACAGGTGAAAAAAGTGATTGGAGAATGAAAAGGAAAGAAATCAAATGCCTAAAGACAAAATATCAGATATTATTTTAGATAATGGAAAATATTATTTCACAAGTGATATTTGCAAGAAACATAAGCTTTGTCTCATGAAGCACTTTTAAAACATAGATATCTTATTTTCATCAAAAAAGAAATTAAAATTCTAAACACAGTATTTGACATGTGTGTTCTTTTACTCATAGTGTAAAGCATTCCGCTGCAACGCGCAACATGTGGCAAGAAATGAGAATATATGCGTTGCTATTATTTTCTCTAAGCTTATTTTCGCTGAAATGAGATTTTAAGTTTTCTCGTATTTTTTCCCAAACTTTTCCTTTTTGCTAATTTTTCTGTGAATACTATAGTAAAAAAAAGTCTTAAAATTGCTGTGAACTTTTGTTTTCATGTAGTTAAACAAACAAGATTTAAAAAACTAGCATTATACTTTGAAGATTATTCTTTACATTTTGATACGTATACAATTATGTCGCTTGAAAAATATAATGTAGGATATTTAGTACGAAAAGTATGATACTTGTGACATTTTAGTGAAATAACTGTGATATTTTAGTGATAATTTGTTCACTGTATAAGGTATTTATTCCGCCTTCTTGGCGTGCCTTCGTGGTGTGGTGGCCTGTACGCTGGGCGCTTATTCCAGAGGTCCGTGGTTCCATTGCCGGCGAAGAAGTTGCACATTTTTCATTTTTCCTGCTTCTCAAAAAATCCTAATGTCTCTACAACTTTAATATCTTAAATACGTAATAAAGCGTCATTATGCTATAAATATAAAAGTCCTTAGAAATTTTCTTTAATTTTTTAATTAACTAAAATCACGAATGCGAACTGAAAGAAAGTTGTAACTTTTCAGATTCGGAAGCAATCACCAGCGTCATTTCATCTTCAAGCTTTCATCATCAATCACCAGCGTAATTTTCACGTTTATCTATAATAGGGTAATTGGTGTGCAAAACAATTCATTTTTAACGCAAAACTGCAAATTCACATAAAATACCTTATAAACGGATTTCTCAAACTGTGGCACATCTATCAGTAATGCTGCATTGTATTTTTTGGTAGTATAATTTTTATACAAAGGATTTAAATGAATGAAAAATGACGCGCTTTCTGGTACATGTATTTGTGCATGATGCTATCAAATGTTGAATGATCTTAAATTCACTTAGTTTGAAAACAAGTTTTTCTAATACTTGCGCAAGAGCTGCAAAGTAAGATAATAATTATTTATTTACTAAGGAAATATTTATTATATTATCTTCTAATATAAATTTAGTAGAAGTATCAAAAAAGAGGGAACCCATATGTAGGAAGTTTAATTCCGAAAATTTTGTTTTAAGCGGAACTACAATTTTGGCTTAACTTAATTTGCCAGTTTGGCATCACCATTCTTACCTGAGTAAAAGGCGAAACACCTTCGCATTTATTAATTATTGTTCATTGAATGGGAGTTGGTTTGTTCCCTTGAAAAGTCAACTAATTTTCAATCAATAGCGATAATTACTTGTTTTTAATTTAATTTCTTTTTCAAAGTTTGAAATTTTGTTATTCATTATTTAAATTCAAGTCCTCGTAAAACATTTTTAATAATTTACATTCAAGTTACTTTAAAACACAATTTTTGGAATTAACTACATACAAGTTCCCTCTTTTTTGATGCTTCTACTAAATTTATATTAGGAGATAATATAATCAATATTTCCTTAGTAAATAAATTATATAAATTTTCACACACACACAGGTTATAGCCAAAACAACGCGGACGAAAACGTCGCGGAGAAAACAAAGGAGAAAACGCCGTGGACAAAACATCGTGGGAGAAAACATCGCAGTTCTAAAATATCGTGGTACAAAATATCATGATTGAAAAAAAAAGTGGTTAAAAAACTTCGCAGTTTAAAAACATCATCGTCGAAAATATCGGGGTAAAAATAAAAAAAAATTACCTGCAAATCATCGCACGACGATAGCGTCGCATACATGTGTTTTTCAAATCGCATAGTGACATATTATGTAACTGACTTTCGTCATAATTAACGAATCGACATCTGAAAATTTGATTGCACGCTATACATGAAAATGTTAACGACACTTTAAGAATAAGCGGAAACAAAACAATATGTAATTTTCATTAAAATAATGTCAGATTAACAAATGTGAAAAAAAATCATTTGATCATTAACTAAGCAATTTTTATAGAGTTAACCTCATGCAGTTATTTATCTTCCTTTTTCTAAGCACTTTTAGACTGTATTTTTTATGAAAAATTACCAGTTAAACTTTATGAAAAAAATCTGAATTTATTAATGACCTTTGTTAGTTATATAAATTTAAAATTATATTAAGATTTTTAAGTTGCATTAATTTTCTACTCATTTTCAAATTTTAAATGCTCAAGTTTCCTTCTTGTTTTTTCAGCAAAAATTTATTAGTTCGTTCAAATATATGAAATATAGAAGTAAAAGAATCACTCTTTCCTTCTTGCGCTCTGTGATATTTATACGAAATGCATTTACAGCTTTGGAAACCTGAAAACGCATCACGCGATGATTCGTAGGTACTTTATTTTTTACCATGATATTTTTGAAGGCGAAGTTTTTA